GAGGACGTCATGTAAAGTACCACAACAAAATAAAGTAGTAAACAAGCAACAACATCATCCATTGAATTAATAGTATAATTTTAAATACATGTGTGTTCTTTCATAGAATAAAACAACATAATGAATAATCAAAATAAAAGACGAGTCTTGACTGTTTCGTCTTCACAAAACCTGGTCATCGTACTTGTCTATTTGTGACCTGAGAATACAAGTTATTTTGAAAGCGAGTATCAGCAATAAAGCTGGTGAATTCATAAGTATTTATCTGTCTTTGATCTGTAAAACTGTAAAGAAAAGACTTGTAAATGTTCGAAGAAAAGTTCGTATAAGTATGAAAAGCCTAGAAAATCTCATATTGCCTACTAGTATAAAATGTAGTCTTCTACCAAGACTCAACTGTTTTGAAGGTTTGAACCTCTACATAAGTGAAGGTTTTTCCCTTGTACAACTATTATTATTCAAATCTATTCTACCTCATCGATTATGTGAATGTGACACAAAATAAAGGTAATAAGGAAAATAATATAATAACTGAAATCGTATCCTTTTGTACTAGGATATTCATGGCGTGGTAACTCGCCGAACCGTACAACCATACACATCAGTCGATGCGCATTTTCCCTACTGTAGCTAACAGCCTTCGGTGTAGAATGGTCAGTCCTGTATCGTATGTAATAGTATCTATGTAATCATGTCTCTGTAATAGTATTTCTGTAATTGTATCTGTGTAATAGTATGTAATAGTATCTCTTCATATAGTATGTAATAGTATCTCTTCATATAGTATGTAATAGTATTTCTGTAATTGTACTTCTGTAATAGTATGTAATAGTATCTCTTCATATAGTATGTAATGTATTAGTATAGACTCATGAATGAACTGACTCATGTGTGATTCCTTGTACTTGGAACAGTAAATAGTATCTCCTAACTATATATGTATATATGTCTATATATGTATACATGATATATAACTAATATTGAGTGATAGAACTTTTATGTCTATATATGTATACATGATATATAACTAATATTTAGACGATATTCGGACAAATAACTGATACTCTAAGGCCACATCCAAACAAGGAAAAGGAATTAAAGCGAGCTAGCAGTCCTAAGTCCTTTAAATATTACTTATATAGCTATACATATATAGGCATGAAATTGACAATATAAAAGTATAAAAGAAGTTTTGTAAAACCTTTGAAAAGTTTAATAAATAAGAATTGATGACTTGATGTTCGTTTATAAAATGATTTGAAAACAGTTTGTTTGATAAGAATAGTTTAAAGTATAAGAAATCTTTTGTTTGAAACACAGAGTTTAAAAGGAAGGTTACAGTATGTAAGACAATTTGATAAAGAGTTTAACCTGTAAAAACATTTTGGTAAGCCATTTGGAAGTAGTATACTGAGTAAACAGCTAAAAGTGTAGTAAATCCATTTGTATGCTAGTTATTAATCACATGTGATTGATATAATAACTAGCATGATTCAACTTGTATTCCCCCCCCCCCCCTAAAAGCATTTATAAACATTTATAAACATTTAAAATGTTAATTAAGGGGTATGAACTCACCTGTAGTGAGTGGATTGTATGGAAGTGTCAGACAAGTGCTAGGTGTCAAGTGAAGACTTGAACACACACAATGATCCTAATAACATATAAAGACATATATGTGTATACAATTAGTGATTATAACACTAATTAGAGAAGTATAAACATCCTAATGTGTGGAAAACACTTTGGTCAAAGTGTTAGGAGGCCATTGGGTTGCAACAAAGGAGTGTAAGGCATTGTTATTGAGTTTAAGGCCCAAGGACCACACTCAATGGAGTTTACGGCCCAAGGGAGTTTACTCTTGGTTGTAAACTCTCTAAATGGTCTTATTTAGAGGCTTGAAGGTATGATATCTTAAGTGGTTAAGTGTTCCAAGGTTAAACAAGAGGCTAGGTGAGTTTAAGGTCCAAGAATTGACCTTAACTTGTGTTTACGGCCTGGGGACCACTTCCCCATGAGTTTACGGCCGTAAACTCATGGTATGAAGTACCATTTTCATGTTTGAGGTCCCTAGTTCAATGGTGGTTGGTTCTAGGCTAAGTTCTGGGCATAAGGAAGGAAGAGAGGGCATCATTGCACCCTTAAAGGGAGTTTACGGCCTTGGGAGATCCTTGGCCGTAAACTCTCATTCAACCTTTGATTCTTGATGTTTCTAAGGACAAAACATGTTAAACCTAGTACATAACAAGTTAGAACAAGAGTACTTACGATCTAGGAGCTTAAATGGTCGGTTTTGGCCAAGAACACTAGTGTGTGTTCTTGGTGTTCTTGGTGAAACTTGAAGATCTACACAAATGGAATGATTTCACGGATGAAATCATGTAAGATCACTAGATCAAGTAAGATATCAACTAGTTAGGGCAATAAACTTACTAGTTTTGAAGATCGGGATGATAGTTAAGAGGATTTTGAAGAGAATTAGCCAAGGAAAGGAAAGGAATGAACAAATGGCCTTCACTTGATCATATAAGGAGAGTTTACAGCCAACATGGAGTTTATGGCTGTAAACTCCATTGTGGTGGCCGTAAACTCATGGTAAATGTGTTTAAGGCTTGTTCTTTGTAATATAGCTTCAACAGATAAACCCCGACACTTATCCCTTAAGTGTACAAGGCTCAGAACGCTCAAACAAACTCCAAATTGTGCTAAATGATAGCAGGAATGAGTTTGACTTTCAATGAAGTGTTAGACTGAACAAGATAGAAAATTTCGGGTTGTCACACACAAGATAAGCTATCTAGACGACATGTCATCACAATATATATATATATATATATATATATATATATATATATATATATATACTAGCAGCGTACCCGCGCAAAGCGGCGGGGTGTGTAAATTTTTTCGGTGATATGTTTCCTCTACAAAAATGTTATGTTACAAAAGAAAGTACATGTCGAAGACAAAATAATCAAACTATGGTGTTATTTGGGAGATGAAGTCATTTTTTATTCCTAGACGGTGGGCTTTATAGCAGACGAGGGAACAAAGAGGTATCTGCGATTGGAGGGATATTTAAATTAACATGCTAAATTTAAGGATATCGAAAAGGGTTCAAAATTTGAATGAATCCGGGATTTGAGGGAACCATATCAAATTGCTGAGAAATATAAGGAGATTTGATGATAAATATTTGAATTCAAAATGTGGTTAAAATTTAATATTATTTTATTAATGGCTAGTTGTACTATCAGCTTCATCATTTAGACGTCTTAAAAAAATATTATTATTATAATCAATCTATTTTTAGAAATAGTTAGATTTCTTTTATAAGATAGTAAAGATATATATATATATATATATATATATATATATATATATATATATATATATATACACCACCCCCCCCCCCCCAACACACACACCAAGTAGTTATACAGTGACAAATTTGTGTCTACGACGAGAGAGAGAGAGAGAGAGAGAGAGAGAGGGAGGGAGGGAGGGAGGGAGGGAGGGAGGGAGGGAGGGAGGGAGAGAGAGAGAGAGAGAGAGAGAGAGAGAGAGAGAGAGAGAGAGAGAAAAAGAAAGAGAGAGAGAGAGGGAGAGAGGGAGAGAGAGAGAGAGAGAGAGAGAGAGAGAGAGAGATAGAGAGAGCCTTCGCTTATTTGTTTAAGTGTGCCCTCCTATCACCTATCTTCCTTTTCCTTCAGTCACATCCGGTCTCAGTTTTGCTTCCAACAACCCCTCGAAAGACAAGAAAAACATATGTTCCCTAACGAGTCTCGTATTCAAGCTCGTTTCGATCGTTCTTGCTTTTATGTTTTCATAAGGGCTGGTAAGGTTTTGCACGTCGTATCGAATTAAACCACATAAGTCCTAGTACCTGTTCTCCAAGCTTGACTATGCAAAACATAGGCGCTTTAGGTGTGTGTTGGCCATGCAAGATGTTTTCAGGAATAAGAGAAGATGATTGTTTTTCATCAGCTCTGCATAGCGAGATGTTCCGGACGACAAAATATATCCTCAGGGACAAACCTATGCCGACGCCAACTCTCCAACTATGTGTCGTTACGAGACTCTGTCCCGACACCATTCCTAATTGTATGATGACCTCTAACGTGGTTGCACGCGTGTTATAGACCACTTAATTAACAAAATAAATTATACTCATTTTAGCATTTAAGCATAGTGAAACTTAGTAATTTTGTTCTAACATCCGGAACTTCTTGTGAACTTATTTAACTTAATTAAACGATGATTCGCTTGACAAACAACTAAAACTTATTCAACTTGTTTTCACAAAGAATTAATGGAGAACATGTAAGAACTTTGTTCTGTTGGGATTTTTTTTATTATTTTTTTTATATTTTTTTTTTTTTGTAAAGCCAAAGAATTAATAACAAAAGGAGGTAGCATAAGACTAGGCATGTACAGGATGAAAGCTTTCAATTTGATTATTTATTTATTTTTTTCTATTAATTGTTTATTTATACTTTGTTGCAAACCTACATGATCCACCATGATAATTAAAAACTCATGACAATAGCTTTAAACTTTACAAGCTATTTGAAAACCATAATAATTAAAAACTCATGACAATATAGCTTTTTAAATTTACAAGCTATTTTAAAAAACTTTGGTTTGAAAAAACTCTTCTAATAATTTTTTACAATTATGAAGAAATTTTTAGATTGAATAGGCTTTTGTAAAAACTCCTATTGTGATGATCTACTAGGATGTTGCCCATTCAGAAATACAGTTTCTTAGGTTAATTTAAATAATTTTAACACCTATACATTTCTGATCAAGCTTGATTGGACTTTGTTCTTGCTGTTTTGCAGTAACATGGATCTATATATAGTTACAATGTAACGAAACACAACCATCTTTCTAATTTCTACATGAACAAATTAATACAATTTTTACCCGAAAGATGAAACTTTATAATAATAAAAAAATCATTACCAAATGAAGCAAACATTTTGCAAGTTTTCCTCTCATGTCCTCCATGGACTGCAAAGAAAAGGTGACCCTCGTCTGAATCTTTCAGTATAGCTGTCCAAGGAAGATGAAGATGAAAATGATGAAGCTCTTGAATCACTACGAACCCATCCTACAAACTCAGCATCGGAATCTCCATCAGAGTAAGTTGCGTGTTTATTAAACCTTGTATGGCGCCCTCTTCGATCGTATGTTTGTAGCCTAAGATTCTTACTTACCTTCTTCCAAGACCAAAACCTCCATGAAAACGAATCTTTAGAGCCACTAACAACAAGTTTAGGCCGAGGAATGGCTAGGCTTTGTACAGCCGGTGGTGGTGTTGGTGGCGGGATGATCTCTACTTGTGGCGGATTCTTGGGTGTTCCTGGTTGCATCTCCCATTTGAAGGGTACACCTTCGTTGGTTGTGTTTTGATAGTATATACGCGATGATTGACCAACCGATGAATCTCTTGAGAGAATCTTGCTGGTAGGAAATTCTTCTCCTTTAAGAACAGAAAAAAGGGTTTGGTTATTTTCGAAATCTTGATTGCCCATTTTTGGAAGGAATTGTTTGATGTTTGATGTTTGAAGTGTTGAGTGAGAAACTTGTTGGATGGAGTTGAAGATTTATGTTGGTCTACTTATATAGATTGATAAGAGTAGCAATGAAGTTATTTAAAAAAAGAAAGTTCTCTTTTAAATTAAGGGATTAATGCCTTCTTTTTCTCTAATGACTTTTTTTTGAAGAAAAAATATTAAAAAGCCTCTATTTCTTACGAAGCCTTGAATTGCATAACTGGTGTCCATTTTTTTAGTAAACGATTTTTATTCTGAATTCTGAAAAATGTACATAGTTACAATAGTAGAATTGTTTTCGAATTTGTATAAGAAAATATCGTAATAGATATTACATTTATCCTTTATAATAATATAAACAAACGAACACAGTGACAGGATAATTGTCATATTCTAAGCAAAATTATCGAAAAAAACACACACACACAATGCACATTTAAAACACCAAATTTTTGTGGGTTGTTTTTTAAAATTAACATCGAGCAAAATATATAGAAATTTTACAATTTTGCAAATACAGATTATGTTGATAGTTTTCCCAACTTCAACGAAATTGACGGAATGGAGGCTGGGTCGGCGGTGTTGGCGGTTTTGTGGCAGGAATAATGGCTGGATGCGATTGATCGTCGAACGAAATTGAGTCGGCTGAGAGGTTTCATAGACAAAACACGATACACAGAAAGGAATAGAAAGGAAGCTCGAAGGGGGGTTTCTGCAAAGGGCTTTAGCGGCGACGTATATTAGCGGCGACCACCTGGAGGGAAAAGTCAGCGTCTTTTCTTGTTTCGTTTAAACCCTACGATTGAAAACAAATCGAATGGATGGGGCTCGTTTGACGTGGATCGCTATTATGTGACTATTAGTGGTGACACCTTTAGCAACGACGTCTAGCATTAGCGGCGACATGTGACGCGTCAATCCATGTCGCCGCTAATGCTAGGCGTCGCCGCTAAAGGTGTCGCCCGCTAATGTCCCATTTATTGTAGTGAATCATTTGATATAAAATATCAGTATTTGTGGGATAAATTTTGTGCAATAAATGCTTAAACAGTGTTTTCTAAAATCTATGTCTAAAAATATCATCTACAAGACAAGAGTGATGATTATGCATTGATTGTCTCATTTCCAAATCTATTGGAGAATAGCAAACGAATTCTTGAAACGAAAACATTCATGATTAGATTGTATCCACTTTTCGGTTGATAAAAAGTGAACAAAATTTACCTTCGTTATCAAGACTAAATAACAGGTTTAAGCTATCTTAAGCATAAAATATTTAATATATAATCGGCATATCATGCAATTATGTTAAACTAATATATACAAAGAATCGGGTATTTTTTTTTATCGTAAATAATGGCATGTTGGTTATTTTTCGACCGGATTATGTTAAAGATAAAAATCAGTTGCTTACTTATAGGTAATTTTATTCACATTTGTATTTTTATTGTGTCTTTTGCATTAAACCAGCCGATGACTATACCCTTAAGGCATGGAGAGGTTAGTCGACTACCCCTTTTCTTACAAATAGTCGCCTACCCCTTTTCTTACAAACTACTACTGTTTTCTTTTACTAGAGTCAATAGTTGACTTTTAGTGGCGTTATAGAGCCCATGGGTAGGGTTCTTGACTTTGCCAAGCAAATATTATAGGATTTTAACAGAGTAGACCATTTGGAGTTAACATGCATCTCATAAGTAACTTGTGTTTTAAGAAACGTGTACCATTACATACATGCATTTGCGTACTTCCCTACAAATTTACTTCGATAACAAGCAAAAGGCAAAAAAAAAAAAAAAAAAAAAAAAAAAAAAAAAAAAAAATCCTTCAAAATGTGGTCCCATAGGTTTTCAAAGAAAAAAAAAACTTTACTTCTAACGATAAGACTTTAATGATAAATTACGTGTTGTTGCAAAGAGAAGAGAATCTCTAAACGAGGTCTGAATATCAAGCTTGAACATCATATTTCTTGTTTTAGAGATATTGTTATGTACAACATCCTCATGTTTGTGGTATGACCGAAGAGATGGGCATTACCCTTTTTAGATTAGAAGTTCTCTTATAAAAACAAATTTGAGGTGTTTACCATGACAAGCCATCATCTATAAAATGTGACATGCATTAATGTTCTTTAATGTCATAGTATGCCCAAGATGTGGTGGAAGGAGCACCGTTACATAACCATTTAATGTTTGTATTGACCCAAGCCGCACTCTAGTGTTAACACCGGAGGTTTGTGCAAATATATTCTATTTTGTATACTTAAGTTTTCATTTTCTATCCATCACATGTTAAAAAAATGATCTCAAAGATCCCCGGTGACAAATAATAGAAAAAAAATATGAACACAAGAGTCTATATGGAAAACTCCAAAATCAGAGAAAAAACCACGTCTCTAGGAGAAAGAGCAATTATATGACACTGTTACAGCCATATAAACTAATTTCTTAGGTCTCACACCAAATTAATGTTGGGTTTGATATACATATATACATATAATAATATAAACAGTAAAAGCATTAACATATTAAAATTGTATGATCATTTCTGAAGCCATAGATCCATTTATAATAACGTAAGCCAATAGTAATTCAACCCATAAAGTGCTTAGATTTGTACCTTATATTGATGGAATTATTAAAGCAAATATTTCTCAACGGTGCACCATAAAGAAATAATAGCGTCCAGTAGACAGTCAACTAATTCTAACTTTCCTTCATTCTTGCATGCTTGAAGTTGACACCAAGAGAGAGGGGAGGGGTTTTGGTGACTAGGTTAACCTCCAACACAGAGTAGTGTTGGTTTTGGAAACTCGTTCTTTTTCTTATTTTTTTTTTATTTTGAAACGGCAAACAAACTAATTAATCTACTTCTAAATGATCATTAATGTCTCTAAAGAGACTTGAATCCATGACTTCTTATTTAAGAGAGTCACTCCGTACTGCTTGACCATTGACCATTTGGTGTTCTTTTTCCTACTAGTGCATACATTTAAACATACTTTAGTTCTACAGGCATTTCATGCCTTTTATTTGACAAGTGAACTTAAAATTTTCACATATTCCCTAAGGAGTGACAAACTAGAGGTATATGTAGACATATCTAGTGTGATAGTCATGTTACTCTTACTCAAGAGTGATTTATTAGGCTTGATGTTTGTGAGAAAATAGTCTTTGAGTAAATTATTGAGGAATTGCTAAACATTATTAAAGGCTTGCATCATCAACGTACAATGATGTTGATATTTCATTATATGCAGTCGTTTTATTCCTAGTTCTACATGGAACTCTAGAACGTTCTCCTAAAGTCCAAGTACATGACATGTTATTTGAGGTAGACTTAGGTGAAGAAAATTCCATTTCCACATACGATATCTCATATGGTATTCCTGACATGTTACATTGGCATGATAGTTAGAAGGTGATCATGCATCCTGAAATACATTTGGATTCAATGCATGCACTATGTCTTTTAATAGATAACTTTTTTTTTATGTTTATCTAATATAAACTCTCATTCAAGACCTATCCTTCCAATATTTTCATAGCAATGTGTTTTTCAAAAACGTGTAGACATTTTGTGGTCTTACGTGAAAAACAAAGAATTCTATGATCTTTATTGTGTATCATATTCAGGCGATATATAGTGCTCCCACTAACTTGAATGAAACTTAAAACTCCTATTCATAAGGCAAGTTCATTTCCTTGATTTTCTTCAAAAAGACTACTTACACAAATCATTAAGATCTATAAAGCTTAACACACTTGAAAATACGTCCTGGCATAAAGGTGTATATAAATCTTAAGCAATATTACGTCAGAATCATATACAAGAAGGGTTAGCATAGTCAACCCTTGTGTAAAAGGAATCAAAAGTAGGTCAATCCTTACAAAAGTATTTTACTTCTCCTTTTAGTTCTTTATCATTCTAAGGAACTTTGAAACTCAAAGAAACCAGCATTTCTTATAAAGAGATGAGATCTTAGTCATATCTCTTGCAAGTTGTCTCGTGTTCATGGTTATAACCATCTATAAGTTTCTAGAATTGATAAAATATTTCTTGATTTCAAAAGACCATAATATTTCAGTGTTTTGGCGAATTCTCAGTTCCCAGTTTGGCTTGAATGATTGATAAGGAAATCAAGTGTTTAAAGGCTTTTTCTAACACCCGAAATCTTGAGGAGAAATTGTAAGGAATGAATCTCATTTTGAGAACTGAACACGACGTGTTGGAGGAACCAACACGGCGTGTCTAGTTAAGGAAAAGTGCAGCTCTCATTAAGGTTAACATGACATGTTGGTGTCTAAACACAGCGTGTTGGAAGCTAGGAAGGAAACCCTAATGTTTAGGATGTTGCACCCTATATAATCTCTTTAAGCCCCAAGGGTCGGTCTCCTTACCAGCCTCCATTGATAAAACCCTAAAATCGATCCCTAATTCTCTTGTTGGTGCTCTTGAGCTAGTAAGAAGTTCTTGGTGCTCATTGTTGGTCTTTGTGAAAGGAGAGAGGATCTTGAAGTTGCTTTGTTTGGGGAAAAGGATTTAGATCTAGAATCATCATCTTGTAAGGAAGCTTTCTGAGGTATCAAGTTTGCATCTTGTCTGGTATATGTTTAGATCTCTTCTTTTGTGCTTTGTTGTGCTTTTGGTCTCTTTTTGGGTTGACGAGAGAGTGAAGTCGTTTAAGGTATTGTTATTCAAAATCTGAGTTGTTTTGGTCCCTTTGAGCATAAAAGTGCAAGATTTAAGAGATTTTAGGTGGCATGCATGCATTAAGTCCCTTCATAAGCTTAAGAGTTTCATTTAGGAATGCATAAGCATAAATTTGGAAACTTTACGTGGTTTTCCAGCTCAAGGAAGTCAGATCTATGTTTTGGGGTTATGTCTTTAAGGATCAAGCACTTATTGGTTAAGACTATACATAATCAAGCCTTGTGGATTGGATTTTTGGACCTTTTGGTAGTACCTATGGGTAAAGA